AAAGGTGGGTCATGGTCCCAGTATCTCTAATGTCATGCTCGTTAACAATCTCAAACACAATCTACTCTCTGTCAACCAACTTTGTAGCCTAGGAAATAAGGTCATTTTTTAGACAAACTTCTGCTACATAGAAAATATAACAACCAAAGAAATTATGTTCACTGGTAAAAGGGAAGGAAAAGTTTATGTTATAGATCTCGACAGTGAGTGTGTGTCTAAAGAGTTGTGTTTGGTATCTGTGAATAGTAATGATCAATATGATTGGCACAGAAAGCTTGGTCACGTGAACATAGGGGTTTTATCCAAGTTAGAGAGTCTTGATCTTGTTAGAGGTCTGCCTAGGCTAAAAGGGAAAAAGGATTTTTTCTGTGATGCTTGTGTCAAAGGTAAGCATACAAGATCAAGCTTTAAAAACAAATTGGTGATTTCCACTACCAGACCACTCGAGTTGCTTCATCTCGACCTGTTTGGACCAACGAATGTGGTAAGTTATGGAGGTAAGAGCTATGCATTTGTGATAGTAGATGACTTTTCCCGGTTCACGTGGGTGCTTTTCTTGGCCCACAAAGATGAAGCGTTTGAAAATTTTCGAATCTTGTCTAAGAAACTTGAAAATGAAAAACAGAGTAAGATTGTAGGGATTAGGAGCGATCATGGTGGTGAATTTATTTCTGAAAACTTTGATGCTTTTTGCTCAGAACAAGGTATTCACCACAATTTCTCTGCTCCTCGTACTCCGCAGCAAAACGGAGTTGTGGAAAGGAAAAATAGAACTCTAATCGAGATAGCTCGGACAATGCTAAATGATTACAATCTTCCTAAATATTTCTGGGCCGAGGCTATAAATACTGCATGTTACACAGTAAACAGAGCTCTAATTAGGTCTGGAATTAAGAACACTCCCTATGAAATTTGGAAGGGGTGGAAGCCTAACCTAGGTTATTTTCACCCGTTCGGGTGTAAGTGCTTTGTTCTAAACACTAAGGATAACCTAGGGAAGTTTGACTCTAAGTCCGACGAGGAAGTATTTCTTGGCTATTCTAATGTGAGTAGGGCTTTTAGGATTTTTAACAAGAGGACTCTCAAAGTAGAGGAGTCTATAAATGTGATTTTTGATGAGTCTACTTGCGAGATCTCAGGAAATTTAGAGGAAGATGATGATGATTTTGGACTGAGAAACAGCAGCAGCAACACTGATAGTGTGGCAGCAGCCAGCGAAAGAGTTGAGATGGAGACTTCAGTTTCAGGTAGTGAAGACCAAGAAACTTCGGACGAACCACGCCCTCCTCCACACATAAGCAAGCGGCACCCTCCATCACTTGTCATAGGTAAGTATGGCGAAGGTATGGTCAATCGATCTAAATCTGTAGAGAACCAAAATGCTTTTGTGTCTGTAATCGAACCTAAGTCTGTAGAAGAAGCTTTACTCGACGAATTTTGGCTGAATTCCATGCATGATGAGATGAATCAATTTGATCGGGCTAAGGTTTGGGACTTGGTTCCTAAACCAGAAGGGGTGAATGTCATAGGGACTAAATGGATTTACAAAAACAAATCTAATGATGTAGGGGTCATTATTAGGAACAAGTCGAGGCTTGTTGCTCAAGGCTACTCTCAGGAAGAAGGCATCGATTTTGAAGAATCCTTTGCCCCAGTAGCTAGACTAGAGGCGATTAGAATGCTTTGCGCTTTTGCCAGTTCAAATGGTTTTAAACTTTTTCAGATGGACGTAAAAAGCGCGTTCTTAAATGGTGATTTGAAAGAAGATGTTTATGTTGCTCAACCCCCAGGATTTGTAGATGCCCAGTATCCAAACCATGTTTATAAGTTAAACAAGGCCTTGTACGGTTTGAAACAAGCTCCCAGAGCTTGGTACGATAAACTGAGCAGTGTCTTAACTAGTAATGGTTTTTCTAGGGGTTCTATAGACAAAACTCTCTTCACCAAAAATAAAGGGTCAAAAATGCTGCTCGTTCAAGTGTATGTTGACGATATCATTTTTGGGTCATCTGATGTAGATCTGTGTCATGATTTTGAAAACCTTATGAAAGAAACTTTTGAAATGAGTCTTATGGGAGAACTAACTTATTTTCTGGGGTTTCAAGTCCATCAAAGTCCGACAGGAATTTTCATTAACCAGAGCAAATATCTGAGTAACATGCTGACTCGTTTCGACCTAGGAAATTTAAAACCAGCAGCAACTCCTATGGCTACAAATGTGAAACTTGATAGGGATGAAGCGAGCATTAGTGTGAGTGAGAAGTTGTATAGGGGAATGATCGGTTCCTTACTATATCTAACTGCCAGTCGCCCTGACATTATGTTTGCTGTCTGTGTTTGTGCTCGGTTTCAAAGCTGCCCTAAGGAAAGTCATATGGTAGCGGTTAAGCGCATTTTTCGATATCTTGCTGGTACAGTTTCTTGGGGTCTTTGGTATTCCAGTGGGTCTGGCCTAGATCCCATAGGATATAGTGATTCTGATTTTGCCGGAAGTCTGACTGATAGGAAAAGTACCTCAGGTGCTTGTCACTTCTTAGGTACCTCCCTTATCTCATGGTTTAGCAAAAAACAGAATTCAGTAGCCCTTTCTACTGCCGAGGCAGAATATGTTGCCGCTGGAGCGTGTTGCACTCAGAGTCTATGGATTAAGTATCAACTTCTAGACTATGGTTTGGAGGTAAATACTTTACATGTGCTATGCGACAATACCAGCTCCATCAACATAGCCAAGAACCCGATCCAGCACTCTAGAACTAAGCATATAGATATTAGGTATCACTTCATCAGAGAACTTGTGGAGGCTAACATTATTCACCTAGAATTCATTCCAACTAGGTTCCAATGGGCTGACATTTTCACGAAGCCCCTGGCTGCTGAACCTTTTTCTCTCATTCGTAGAGAATTAGGATTAGCATCCCTAGAGGCTGTGATTCTTTCCTCATAATTTCGTTGGACAATCAATGGTTGGCTAGTCCTCATTTGAATGCCGCCCATTGTGAGAAAGTTTTCTATCAGGTAATGGTAAGTAGTCTATGTCTTTCTGGATGCTAGCTGTTTTCCTCCTTGCTCGAGAAGGTTGAGGTAAGTTTTTAAATTTTGTGAGCTTGAGATTTTTGTGTTTAGTAGATTAGGTAACTTCATATGCTTGTGTGTGATTAAATGTTTTGAAATCTTTCCCTTCCTCACTGACATTCTCGAATCCTTTTTCTGATTCCCTTCTCAAATCACCACCTACCAAGTTTTGGTGATTCTTTCCTCCACATTTCTGAATATCCTCTCCCCTTATAAACTGTCCCTTCCACAGTCCTTGTCTCACTCACCATCGTATTTCTTCAAATTCATCGCATCCTCTTCCCTCATCGTGTTCACCATGACTTTCAACCCCCAGCTTTCTCTCATCACTGCCCGATCATCTGTGTTCACCAACAACATCTGCACTGATCCTCGGGACTATGCTCGTTACCTTCGATACTTCCGACATCGGCGCCTCATTCCTTCCTATACGATTGAACCAGCCACTTTCAATCGCTATCAACTGCGCATCGCAGAGCTGATCAGTGCTCTGGGCTGGACTCCACTGCTGGAAAGACAGAGATTCACCTATCATCCAGAAGCAGTACGCACCTTTTATGCGTATATGCGTCGCATCTGCGGTCCTGGTCCGGTAACAGCGACCACTACAGTGTATGGACACACCATAACCATCACTGTGGAACTCTTGTCTCAGATGCTGCGTCTCTCCACCGAAGGCCGAGAGGTAATGAGCGAGGCTGATTTCTATCGATATCATTTTAGTCCTCGCGCTGCCATTTCTCGCCTTTCCTCTATTGAGACAGTTGGGACAAACTCTACAACTCTAAGTTGTCTTCCTGATGAGTTGAAGGTGCTGCATTTTTACATTACCCGGGTTTTCCTCCCTCGAACTGTAGATCGGTACACAGTCACTCCCCTTGATCTTTGGATCATGTCCAATGCTGTATCCTACCACAAGCTGAGCTATCCCCACCTTATGATGCACCATATGATGACCTACAGCGATCATCAAAACGGCGGCTACCTTCCTCTTGCCCCCCCAGATATCTCAGTTCCTTAGCTGTATTGGAATTGATCTCGATGACAAGGCTTCATTTGTTAATGTGCTCGATACTCTTCGGGCGCAACATATCCTTCGTCGAGTGGATGCTTCTGTCGGCATTCGCAAGCTTCGGAATGCTCAAGGGGGAGACGAGGCTGAAGCAAATGATGTTCGCAATACCGAAGCAGATCTTGCTGCTGTACGCAGGTGCTTGGAAGGCATAACGAAGGATAAAGGTAAGAGGAAGCTGACTGATAGAAACAAGGAGGAACCACCTCGCTCAACTACTGCAGGGAAGAGTATTCGAATCATCACCAAGAGTATAGAAGAATCTGAGGAGCCTATAGAGGTTGAAGAACCTGAAGAGGCTGCAGAATCCCGAGCTGATAACCTTTTTAACCTCTCTGACGGGGATATTTCCGAGTACGAGTCTGATCCAGAATACGATTTTTAAAGAGGCATAAGAGTCAGGGGGAGGATGTTTCTTGGAGTAGAAGTGTCTTTGCTTAAGTTTATTTTGAGGAGTAGAAGTGTCTTTGCTATTCAAGTTTTTGGTTGAGTGTTTGGAATAAAGTCCTGTTCATCCTCTTTTGAAATAATCATTGGTTGGTTGTGATTTTTTTTGGTCACTCCTACTGAGAGCAGTCTTGATAAATAAATCTCTATAATCGATGTTTGTAGTGGTTTTCATTTTGATTAAGCAACAGGGAAGGACATTGCTAAGCTGAGGGGGAGAATGTTGAGGTCAGCGTCGCAATATCCACTACCAACCCCAGCTGGAATCATATCAGCAGAATCGTCTTATTGATGGCAAAGAATGAAGGTGACGCAATCAAATGAAACAGAGAAGGAAAGTGCAACGGTCCTGTCTAACGGCTACTCACAGTGGAGCAATATATATAACACCTTGATCAAAGAGTAAGAGGTAGACTTTTCCAGCGATTTCAAACAAGAGAGCTAGAGCTTTAGCAAGGGTTTGAGTGGAAAAAGTCAGCACAGAGATTAGTAGTGATTTCTGGGTACTGGTATAGGTGGTATATCAGGGGTTCTATTGGCTGGGTAGCTAGTAGGGAGATAAAGGTTTGACGATCAAGCAGTAGGCTGATCGGGTAACTCTGATTGTGTTTCGAAGGGAGCTTAAAGAACAATTTCTAGTGAATCGTCAGAGATCGCAAGAGAGCGATTCTCTGACCGTGGATTAGTCGGTGTTGGGTTCGTTAAACACCTAACACCGGATACCACGTAAAAATTTGGTGTTGTGTTTTATTTTCTGCACTTGATTGGCTTTGCTGATATCCTGTTGCACTCTGTTCATGTGTCTGGGTTGAAAGCAAAGAACAGGGGTTTTTGATTTCAGTCGAAGAGAAGGGAAGGATCAGTTTGGGTTCGTGAAACGGTGAGTTTTGGGAAAAGGTTGGTGTCTGATTTGTGATCAGGCCAAGGAAAAGCTTTTGAGTGGGCTGGTGAGAAAGCTAAATAAAATAAGCTTTGGGTCTCGGCCCAATTCTTCCAAGGCTAAGCTATCGGCTGCTCAAACACCAAAAGAGGAAATCCTTCCTGGTCATTCCGATCAAACAAAAACTCTAGGTAAAAACTGGTTCTGCTGTTCTTGCCGAAAGAGACGAAGAAGCTTAGTGCAGGTGTTGAATCCGAATAAGAGAAAGAAGGCCGATTTGTCTCGCGCTCGACACTTTTACACGTGGTATCAGAGCCTGGTTCTGTCGAAAAGGGTCAAGCGATCTCCGGAGTAGCAAGACATGTCGACGAATTCGGGAATGGGGGCTGTTCTCTATCTCGCGGATGGGTTTTCACAAAATCGGCCACCAACGGGTACTGGAAGAATCGAATGGAGCTGTTCGTTGGTTCAACAGACCCGAAACTCTGGGCAACAGTCATCAAGGGTCCGCACGAGCTCAAGACTGACCAAGAAAAATGGACCGACGAGGATTTTGAGAAACATCAGCAGAATTGCAAGGCCACAAACCTGATGTACTGCTCGCTTGGGCCTGAAGAGTATCACAAAGTCTCTGGGTGCAAAACTGCAAAAGAGATATGGGACAAACTCCAGGTAACCTACGAAGGCACTTCTCAAGTTAAAATTTCCAGGATCAACATACTGAAAACTGAGTTTGAAACATTTAAGATGAATGATGGGGAATCAATTAGGGAAATGTCGGAAAGGTTCACTAATATAGTGAACAGTCTAGAAAACTTGGGAGTATCGTATGACAGTGGTGACCTAGTTAGGAAGATTCTATGGTCTCTACCTAAGAAATGGGATCCGAAAGTGACTGCAATAGAGGAGGCAAAGAATTTATCTACACTGGATGTCGATGAACTAATAGGGTCATTAGCCACGTATGAGGAGAAAATCAAAAGAGAAAGTGGAGAAGAACAGAAGAAAGAAAAAAGGGGGGATAGCTTTTAAAGCACAAGCTTGCGAGGAAGATTCGGCGAATACGATGATATGGATGATGACGAGCTGGCAATGCTCAGCAAGCATATAACACAGCTCATGAAGATGAGGAAGGACAGACGACGAGGAAACCTTGTAAATAATGATATGCAAGAATAAACACCAGGTTGCATGACTAAACAGTATTTTGGTTGCGTGAATAATCAACGCTCTTACGTGAATAATAATAACGCCAATATGGCATGAATAAGCTCAAATTTACGTGAAAAATAACAAATAAATAAATTAATTAGGTGTTGTCTCTAAAATTCAAAGAGAGTGGGCTTAGGTAACCAATTCGTGGAGTGGAAGCAAGAGTAGGAGCGAGAGAGCGTATATTTTTAAAAGTTGTATGAAAGCGTTAATATTATATTATCTTTATTATTCTAATATTTGTTTTTATCTATAAGTAATGTTGGTAGAAAAAATTTCAAGCTACCAATTAGCACATTAATTTTCGTTTTTACCAAATTAACCTGTTTGAAATTCCAAATAGTGGTGATACCATATAATATTCAAAAATAAGAAGAAAACATATTCATGGATTTTGGCAATGTAGTCAAAATCGCGCTTTAAAACTTAAAAACTTACAATTTTACGTTTTAAGGTCACTAGAACGCTTCTATATAAAATCTCAGTTTTTATAACTTTTGTAGTTAAAAACTCTGTTTTAAAACTTAAAAACTTACGATTTTACGCTTCTAGATCATCAAAACGTTTCTACATTAAAACTCGCTTTTGACTACATTGGATTTTGGTACCTATCTATCTATCTATCTATCTATATCTATATCTATATATCTATATCTATACTATATATTATGGTAATTTAAAAATAATCTCTTGCCACATAAGCAATTGGAGGATCCACAAGTTGGACAACTTTTTTACAAACAAAAAAAAATTAGTTATTAATGTATTTATGGAGCTATCTCTCTCTTCTTTAATATTTTCAATTATTTTATCTAATTATTATTTTTCATTTATCCATTTATTTTTTTCTTTTTTGCATTCATAATAACTTACATGTTGATAAATTTAACCAAACACATATAAATAATAATTGTTTTTGTCAAGTAAACAAAATATAAATAGAAAACAGAGAGTGACATATATCACATTTGTTCAAATAAAAAGTATCTGATTAAAACTTATGAAGTAAAATTTCTACTCATTTTTACTAAAATTGAATGATAAGTTACATTTTGATGAAAAAATTAAACAAACATACACATAAAAAATAATTATTTTATTGATTAAACAAAATATATATGAAAAGAGAGAAAATAAACATTTGACATTCAATTACCTTTGAAAAATAAACTATATTATTTTATATTTTGTTGAAATCAAACACTCTCTTATTAGTGAAGTATATGTCTATAAAATAAAACAATTATTATTTAGCAAAATGTTAGAGTATAATCTTGATCGAGTAGTTACAGTTATTTATTTATTAAAGACTTCTTATTCATTCAGATCACGTTCTACAATAACTCCTCAAATGAAGAGGAATTGCATGTGCAATAATTTTATAATGTGCTAAGTTCACATTAATAATATTTGCTCTATATCATGTTTGATTGAGCAAGCTCTATTGAGGTCCTAAGTCGTATGCTAAGAAATTTTCTTTCAGACTTAGAGTTATCGTCGACGATTATAACATATGTGAAGGTTAAAGTAGTTTTTGTTGACAATCTACTATAAACATTCCTTGATGAGACACAACATTCCTTGAAAAATAACATATGTGAAGGTTAAAGTAATATTTGTTGACAATCTACGATAAACATCACGTTTCATCAATTAATAACCTACGCATTTACCAAATAAAGGTTGGCAATTTTTAGTAAGATAGTCAATTGGGATAAACATATTTATCCAACAATTAAGTATCTTTATCCAATCATCTCAACTCTCAAAATTGGTTTCCAGTTCGTCCAAACTCGAGAAACACAAATTGATATATGTTGTATAAGATAATAAGTTAATGCAAATAATCAAATGAAATCCACCGATATTGTTCAAATGATAATACATTTTAAATGCACTTGAAATATGTGTGTATTGTATACACTCTTTATCAATTATTAATATATAAGTGATAAAATCTTTGAAAATTACACATTCAACGACCATGTTGAGACCAAAATCCTTGATAGTGTGTGTGTGTGTGTCTTAGATTGAGATTCCAAGCAAACATATAAACAATGACCACGGGTTGAGGGTTAGTATAAACTTCAAGAATTAACAACTGATACATATTGTATAATATACTAAATTTAATTGTCTTGATAAAAAACTAACATCCAAAATGGAAATGAGTCGAGATTAGAGAATTTAATCATCATGAGGGCTACAGTGCGTGTCAAGTTTCAATATAGATGAATAAATTGATCCAATAAAGAAGTATCGTTACAACATTGGTCGAGAGTTCGTCCAAAGTCGAGAATCATGAATGTGTATTGGATTCCACATGACCTAAAATTCCAATCCCTTTTGAGGGCTGAATACCTCTGATCACAACCACAGGTGCCAAAGAAGAATGAAAAGAAGCCCAAAAAAGCAAAAAAGAAAATAACCTCTGATACGATGAACAAAATAAAACCATATTGAGCTATGATCCTGTCAGCCCTACCATTTTATTCTCCATAAAGGGGGTTGTGGGAGAGGATAAGAAATAAATAGCAGGAGCTTAGGATTTGCCTCTTTTTATAATATATATCGAGCGATAGACAACCCTAATAGTTGTCTGACGTTATGGGGGTAAAAGCGGGATCTCTATCCCGCGAATGGTGGATAGGCAAGTAGCACTTTTAATATGAGTATTATGCGAGATAGGATAGGTCTGAAGAAGTATGTGGATAATTTTGAGTGTACTACACACACACATACATATATATAACATCAAGGAGTGAGTTCTACGGTACCTAGAGTGAAATTCAGCGTACCGCATACCTTGAGCATGAAAGCGTTATCCAAACCTTGAATTGACTGATCTTTCAGACATGATATTATACTCCAACCCTTAGACATCAAAATCTAGGTTTTAATTCTCTAAATCTTATATCCCAAGATCAATTTAATTAGAAACAATGATCGACGATTATGATTCGTCCAAATATAGGCAAAAAATGAATGCACCATCTTAGGGTTTACAATTTATGATTTAGATAATTAGGACATAATTCACTCATTAAGGGTTAGGGTATATTATCCGACCAAAAATCCTGCTAATTTGAGGTCTAGATAGATTTTTAATACTCAAGGTATGTGGTACCCTAGATCTCACCTGGGGTACCGTAAAAGCCGCCCAATATCAAGGTATACTATACTTTTGATTTTACTCAAGATACGATAGAAGATAGATATGACGAAGTATGCCCATAAATTAGAGGTTAGAGAATTAGGGTTTGGAGTTCACCTATTAGATGTTAGGGTATAGTATCATGCCCCAAGAAACTCCGGTTAATTCGTGGTCTAAATAGTATAACTCAATTGTCGTATGGTAGTGTGAACACAAGAGTATAGCATACTCCTGGCACACGCTAGCTTGAACTATATGTGTGTGTGTGGGGGGGGGGGGGGGGGGGGGGGGGGGGGGGGGGGGGGGGGGGGGGGGGGGGGGAAGTTCAGGTTGGCGTACGCTAAACATTAGTGTTTTGCTTGATAAATTTTGACATAAGTTCTAAATGGGACGTGACGGTGACATCATTTATGATTAGAAAACCGAAGTATCACAAATGAGTGTGCTAAATATTGGAAATTTTCAATATAGACATACTACAAACTCTGTTATAAATCAAGAACACAAAATATTTGGAATCCAAAATGATTTAAACATATAAATAAGTTAATTAATATAAATTATAAAATAAATCTCTCTGGCCAACGGGCCGGGTAATAAGCTAGTATACTTAATATTATGGCTATTCAAAAGTAACTTCTTGCCACATAAGCACTTGGTGAATTCACAAGATGCCAAGGTGGACAATTTTTTAACAAACAAAAATTTATTTATTGATCTATTTATGGAGCTATCTCTCTCTTCTTTTAATACTTCTACTCATTTATACTAAAACTTAAAATAAGGTACATTTTTTGTGACACATTTAAACAAACAAACAAACATAAGTAATAATCTTTTCTTCAATTAAACAAACTATAAAAATGAAAATAGAGAGTGACAGTTTAACCCAAAATATCTTATTAAATTTCATTAAGTAAATTTTCTATTCATTTTCACTAAAAATTTATAATAAGTTACATTTTGATGGAAAAAAACAAGCACACATATGAATAATAATAATTTTTCAATTAAACAAAATTTAAACGATGGCCTGGGAGAAAATGAGCGTTTGACAATCAATCTTTTTTGAAAAATGAACTACATGACTATATATTTTTTGTTATCAAACACTCACTTCTTCCTAATGAATATACTTATAAAATAAAACAAGTATAATTTATATAGAAAAAGGTCTGAAGATAAATTTGACATAGCAATAATTGTTATTTTTTTAAAACACTTCTTATTCATTCCGTTTAAATAAAAAATATATTAATTGTGAATACAACCTTTTAATTTATCTCTACCATTTTCCCATTTTGAGTGTCTCTCTAGAAATAAAATCCAACATTGAAAATAAGAAATTAGATAGAGAAGGAAATGGTAATGCATATGAAGTTTTTTTTTCTTTGTAGGAGAATAGGAGGAGGGAGGTACACGAGGAAACGATTAGATGGAAAATTATTGAGCAGTTGTAACATATTTTTGCCTGTTGATAAAAGCAGTTCATCCTATCATTACGAAGACGAGGTGAACCAGTGGCGTAGTTAGGATTTCATCTAAGGTGGGTCCACTTAGAAGAAAAATTCACCTGGTAAAATAATTTTTGTTAATTTTGCGAATCATTCATGACATAATCTTATATTGGAAAATTTTGGTTAAGTAAAATAGATTAGCAGTCGAAATTATCAAGAATATTACTTTATATACCAAACAATTATTAATGATTTAGTTAGTCGTTCTGTTTCGTATGATGTTCTTTATAAAAAACCATTAGTATATATAACTCGAGTTGTCAAGAGATATTTAATAATATATCTTACACCAAACAATAATTCATGATTTGTTTAGTCATTCGCTTACAAATGATGTTATTTGTCAAGAATCTTTTTGAATCAATAAATTGAGTTGTTGGAAGAGGTTCAATAATATATCTTATACTATTTACTAGCACGCTCCCTCATATAAGAAAGTCAACTTATAGAAAAATGAAGTTTGCACAAATCTGTATATCGTGTACTTAACAAATGAGGTCGCCAAAATTTCGAACAAAAAATCTTTCGATCAACTATTCTCAATTAAATACCCCTAATTTTCTATATAAATTAACTTTTGTACCTAATTGAACAATTTTCCTTCCGAGTCAGGGTGGGTCCCGTGACTCACCCTGTTATACTCTCCCTCCGCCACTGAGGTGAACCAAACCGAGGATTGTCGACTGCTCCCTCTTCCTCCTTGATCTGAAGCTCGCAACTGCTCACTCTTTTTTCCATTATTTTCTTAATTTCTTCCAAGTTAAAACGGTTGGATGGTAAATTTCCCTACTTGATGAGCGAATGTATTTATTCTTCGTTTTCACGGAGTTATTTTATGTTCTCTATTACGTCATATACTTTTATGTAAATAGGTAATATATGATTAGAAAGGATAATTGGTTGGACTTAGAGCATATGTCATTTGGTTGAATAATTGATTTTTACTTAAATGCCTATTGCAACCCGATACTTTAGATGTTGAAATGGAAAGTGGAGTTGTGAGGGTTTTTCATTATGTTCCTTATGTTCATGATTGACATGCTACTAGCTAGCTATAAGATGATGATCTGGTTAATAATTAGTAGGTAGCAATGGGATTATAAGTAGAAGGGAACATAATTGGGGATTTTATAAAGGTCGTGAAGAAGAAAGAAAATGACTGTGGAGGTTCCTAGGTTGTGTATTTTGATGTTTTTTCAATTTCTACATGTTTGTAATGACATTTTTTTGTTTCATTAGGGTGAATTTCTCCTCATTAAATCCTTAACTAAAGCTTGATTTTGACATGATTATTTTCTTACCAACTACCATTTTTATTGGTGCATAGATTCAGTTCACAAATTAGGAATCTGCAAGATAGAATGAGTTGAGTTGTATTGAAGTACGCTCCTTTCATTATTTGTCTATGTTGTTATTAGGTAAAAAAGCATTATTTTTTCCTTTAGGAGATATGCAGCTCTCTATAAATTATAAATTGTGTTTATATGAAGTTTAGTTTGTTGAAAATATTGTTTTAATAAATTAGTGACAACTGATAGTTCTGTTTGTGGTTGGTTTTGCTAGAACATTGACAAGATAAATTAATTGAGTATCCAGAAGACTGATGGATGTGGATGCTAATGTATTTCATCATTATTCCAGAATTGCAGATGTAACTGATAATACACGATATTCGTGAGATCTAGATCGGAATATTCTCTATTATCATATACCAACATAGGAGAAGGGAAAGAAAATGAAAATCTCTTCACTTATTTTATTAATTGAATCCTATTTTCTTATCCTAACTTCTTCGTTTTTCTACCTTAAAAATTTTAACTTCTTTATCACTTTTTTGAGTTCGATACAATATTTTAAATCAATAAAGAACGGTCTACAAAGAGCTCAGTTAATACAATTAAATTTTTCATAAATTAAAAAGATATAATAGTATGAAACATTACCTAAATAAGGTAAGTGGATTTACAATTTCATGTATATTAAATCGACAAACATAAATGATAATAATAATTAGAATACTATAACGAATTTTAAAATAATCAAATGTAATACACCGCCCAACGGGCGGGTAAAAAACTAGTAACAAATTAAAAGTATTATCTCTCCCCTCTTTTTCGTTAACAGCACACCACCACCACCTTCATGCGGGTTAGCCACGTGTGCCTGCGAGTTAGCCAAACAAATGACAACCATGCACTTTAGCATAACTCTTATGCTACAGTAACCTCATGTAACTTTGAATAGTACTAGTTTTCATTGCCCGCGTGTTGCGCCGGGACTTGTGGTATATGTAGATTACACAATTACTACATATGAGTACCATGATGTGTTCATATTCTTCACATTGCTAATCGTCCATACAAAGTATTGTTACAGTTAGTGTTCCGCATCAGAATTGGAGTATACTCTTTTTTTCAATAGTGAGTATACTTTTTATTAACGGACATCATAATAAAAATTTCTTATCAACCTAGATAATTCATATGTTTGATAATAATGGGAAATTGAAACACCAAATATTGGCTAATATAGATATGATTTATGGTGAAAGGATTGTTCTGACGAAGTCTTGGGGCCACAAAGCATTGTGTGGAATGTAAGCATCTAGATTCTATGAACAACATATCCCATCATTAAAGGTGAAGATTTCATGAAAACTAAGAGGCCTTGTTAATTTGGCATTAATTAACCATCAATTTTCGACACATTCTAACTTCCAGGTAAATCAAGGGTCATTTATAAATTAAGTGAAGAATTGTCCTCGTGCATAAATTCATTAGGTAGGTATTAGCACGACCAAGAAAGAGACAAATCAACAATCTATATTGTTAAAAGGAAAGGCAAACACGTCTCTTTTTTTTTTACAAAAGATAATCATATATTGATTCAAAAAATAGATAATTACATCCTGGAAGAAAGCCAGGCCAGGAAATCAAAAGAACGACTCATAGTCGGGTACAAAAAGAGGGCTTTTCAAGCCACCGAATGGGCTACCCTATTACTAATCCGACCTACAAATCGAACCATAAAACCAGCAGAGCAATGAAAAAATTGTTGAAGTTCCTCCAAAACCGCTCCGACCCGGTTATCTCTGGCATCCGCCCGATTGATTTTATCAATAATAACCTTGGCATCACCTTCAAATTGAACCTCCGAGAGGCCTAGCTCCAGGCACCACCAAACTGCCTCCCGAAGAACAAGCAATTCTACCACCATCGGATCGTCCATACCAGGAAGACAAACCCCCTACACCAGCCAAACATCCCTAGAAGGAGTAAAAAGAACCACCCCACCAGTCGAGTGAGATCCTCTCCGAACCGCCCCATCCCACATACACACCACCCTGTCCCCCCCACCTAGACCCATCAGGTGCGACTCAGAGGGTACCGCTGCAAGGGGAGCCAATCTTGGGCTTGTATTCACTGGGAGTAAAACCCACTCCTCATACTGTTGCTGAAACTGACGCATCAAGGCCGGGAACCCAAACTGCTTGCCTTCAAAGACAACCCAGTTCCGAGACCGCCATATCCGCCAAAGGACAGCAACCAAAGCCATAAACAGAGGAGGCTGGGGAATCAACGCCATTAATCTCTTTAGAAACAGAGGGAAAGTATGGCGGGGGAGTCCCTCCCCTAGGTGAGCCAGACCAGAATAGTCCCAAAGGGCCCGAGCAACTGGGCAATCTAAGAATAAATGCTCCAAAGTTTCTTCAATTTCCCAGCATACCGGGCACCTGGGGAGCACCGGAACCTGCTTTCCAATAAGGGCTTCCGTAGTCGGCAGTATGCGATTAAAGATCTGTGCCAGACAAAGACTTTAAGCTTTGGAGGGATATTAGCATTCCACAATCGAATCCAGGATGACTTATCCATCCACCCCACCGTGGATCGCCAGCCCCCCCCCCCCCCCCCCCCCCCCCCCCCCGCCGCCTGTCAATCTCGCCCGCCAAGTGATAAGCAGACTTAACCGTAAAGACCCCATCCACAGTGGCATGCCAGATTAACCTGTCCTCCACATTCCGCCGCGGAAGGGGAATAGTCTTAATAGCCTCACAGGTGACTGGGTCAAACCACTAGCACAACTTCTCAACATTCCAACACCCCTCCCCAGGACATATGATCTCCGCAACAGGAGGATCCCCCCCCTCTGGCAAAACCCGGGGGTTATAGCTGGGAGGTTCATTCTGGAGCCCTGGGATCCAATTAGAGTTCAGTAAGGATGCTGATCGGCCATTACCAATTTGCCACCTCAACCCCTTCACTAACAACTGCCTACCAAATAAGATGCTTTGCTAGCCCTAGGAGGGTCGCGATCTTGCCGAAGCCTCTAGAAAAAGACTCAGTGGGGAAATACTTGCCTTTGTAGACCTGCGTCAAAAGGGACTAGGGATCCATAAGGATACGCCACCCAATCTTAGCAAGCAAAGCCTGATTGAACTGCTCAAACCGCCTAAATCCCAATCCACCATCATGTTTACTGGGGCACAAATTCCGCCATGACACCCACCTAATACGAAAGTTATCCTCAGCGTCCCCCCACCAAAACCGGGCCACATGCTTGTCTAAAAGTCGACAGAGCGAAAGAGGGAGCTTAAAACAAGACATCACGTGCAGTGGCAACACCAAAGCAACAGACTTAATCAACGTTTCTTTCGCAGCCCACGATAAGGTTTTCTGCTTCCAACCCTGCAGACGCTCTAGCAGCTTCTCCTCCAAATACCTGAACGTAGCCAATTTAGAACGAGCAACAAGCGTCGGCAATCCCAGGTACTTATCATGAACCCCAACCGCCCAGCACCGCGGCCAAGAATTCCTGGTCCGCAAGGACAATATTCTTACTAAAACAAACAGCCGATTTATCCAAGTTCACTCGTTGGCCACTCAAGTCCTCATACTCATTGAGAACCTCAATCAAGTTCTCACACTCCCGGAGAGTACCTCGCAAGAATAGATGGGAATCATCCGCAAAAAACAGGTGCGAGATACGGGGAGCACGAGGAGCCACTTTAACCCCTTCCAGCTTCTTCTCCGTAGTAGCCTTGCGAAGGAGGGCTGCAAAGCCCTCCGTACAGAGCACGAATAAGAGAGGGGAATGGGGATCCCCTTGCCTAAGCCCCCTGGAAGGAGTAAAAAAACCCGAAGGAGTCCCATTCATAAGCACAGAAAAAAATGAGGATCGGAGACACTCCCGGATCCACCCTTGCCAAATCGGATTAAAGCCCATCTTGTCCAAAACCGCAAGGAGAAAAGGCCACTCGACTCTATCATAGGCATTTTCCATGTCAACCTTTAGAGCCATATACCCTTTCTTACCCCGCGTTTTGATCTTAAGATAATGCATCGATTCATGCCCCAATAGAACATTCTCAACAATTTGACGCTCCTGAATGAAAGCATTCTGACCCTCTGAGACAATCTTCGGCAAAAGGCAGGCAAGACGTTCCGCCATGATCTTAGTTATAATTTTATAAACGAATTGGCATAGGCTGATTGGTCGCAACTGCCGCATAGTCTCCGCATTATCGACCTTGGGTATCAACGTGAGCCACGTGTGATTGAAACTACGAAGCATACGACTGGTAGCAAAGAACGAACATACTGCCGTCGTAACCGAATCCCCCACGATGTTCCAGAAAGCTTTAAAAAACTTCCCCGTGAAACCATCGGACCCAGGAGCCTGCTTAGATCCCATAGCAAACACCCTTTTACGCACCTCAGAAGGGAGAACTTCGGCCGTAAGACCCGCATTCATCTCTGGGGTAATACTCCGAGCAATAGGCAACGATGCCACCCGCTCAGCCATATTACCCACCTGGTTCTCCGTTGTAAAAAGGTGTTGATAAAAGGAAGTGGCAATCCCCGCTTTACCAGCCTCATCTATCACCCACTCCCCAGTCTCAGCGCGAAGCCCAGCCACAAAATTCCTTTTGCGCCGAGCTCTCGTCACTGTATGAAAATAGGACGTGTTTTTATCCCCCTTCTTCAGCCAGTGGACTCTGGACTTCTGCTGCCAATAAATTTCCTCAGCCTCCCACTGCCGACTCAACTCAATTTCCAACCCCCGAACCAGATAGTCAATCGGATGAACCAGTTTGACCCTTTCAATCTCGCTCTGGAGGGTACGAATATTCCGCAGTGAGTTCGTGGTACCCGTCCTACTCCAATCATACAGGAGGTGGCGAAGTCTTTTCAGGCAATCCCAAAGGCAGAACATAGGGGTGCCCTGGATTTCCTCCTTCCAGACATAAGTCTCACTTCATCCATGGTCTATGATA